ATTCCCACTTTCGGTTTCCAACCACAATCATCAACAATATTATTTTCTTCCATTAAAATCTGAATTAATTGATTTTATACAGATTAAGTGAAATGGGTTAAATAAATCAACATATATGGGTTAAGTGACTGAACCAAACCATCTATGAATCAATAACAGATTAATTGATTTCAAAAAAATCTGAATCATGGGTTAAAATATGAATTAATTGATTTCATATAGATTAAGTGAAATGGGTTAAATAAATCAACATATATGGGTTAAGTGACTGAACCAAACCATCTATGAATCAATAACAAATTAATTGATTTCAAAAAAATCTGAATCATGGGTTAAAATCTGAATTAATTGATTTCATATAGATTAAGTGAAATGGGTTAAATAAATCAACATATATGGGTTAAGTGACTGAACCAAACCGTCTATGAATCAATAACAAATTAATTGATTTCAAAAAAATCTGAATCATGGGTTAAAATCTGAATCAAATAGATTAAAATCTGAATTAATTGATTTCATATAGATTAAGTGAAATGGGTTAAATAAATCAACATATATGGGTTAAGTGACTGAACCAAGCCATCTATGAATCAATAACAGATTAATTGATTTCAAAAAAATCTGAATCATGGGTTAAAATTTGAATCAAATAGATTAAAATCTGAATTAATTGATTTCATACAGATTACGTGAAATGGGTTAAATAAACCATCTATAAATCAGTAACAACCTATCTATGAATCCCCAACAAATTAAGTGACTGAACCAAACCAAAATCAACAACAAATCTATACATATCTATATACATACATATATATAACAACAAATCTATGCATATATACATACATACATATATATATATATATAACAGCAAGATGATAAATAGACCTCGTCGTCACTGCAATGTTGCCTTTCTGCCATCACATCGCCGCCGGACTCACTGTCGCACGTGATCCTTTGCTCGCCATCGCACTGCTCCTCCATCTCCGCCATCTCTTTTGTCTCTCAGTTCCTTTCTCAGTTCACCGTCGTTCTCTTTCCATTCCTTACTCCGACTTTCAGTCGTCTCTCACGATGCCTCTCCCTCTCTGCTAGGGTTCACTGACTTAGATTGATGGTGCAAAACGAAGAAGACGATACAGAGAAGAGAAAAAAGGGGAAATGAGGGAAATGAAATTTTTGAATTTTAAAAAAAAAACACTAAATAAAACGACGTCATTTTCTCCAAAACGACGTCGTTTTGGAGACCACCGCAGGAACCACCGCAGGAAACCATGGTAGAGGATCTGGACTCTTTCACCATATGGTACACACCAAAAAATCAACTATCAAATATTTATTATAACCCCTATATAATAAATAATAACAACTCTCAAGGTAGTTACTACCAATCACATAATTAAAAATGACCAAACAGTTAAACATGAGTCACTAAACAAACTCAAATTAAATTAAATCTAAATCATGGGTCTCACCCATAAATTAAACATTACCCAATTATATATCAAAGTAGACCCAACAAAATAATCTCAAGTCATGGCCTAAACACCCAAACTTAATATCAAATTATGTTGTACACTAGACCGAATACCGATCAGTCCGTGAATTTTCATAAAATAAATACTTATCAATAAATTCTGAAATTTTTACCCAACGTGTTAGACTCATATGTGAACAACACATAAAAATTACATAATTTTCTGATATCGGAAACTATTTTAAAAAAAATAAAAAACCGAACTATTTTCGCACAGAATTTACACAGTTGTCAAATCTGAAAATTTGCACAATTAAATTATACACTGTCTATTTTTTTTAAAAAAAATTCTGGGTCATTACACCCACCACCAACGTAAACGCACAGTGAAATAGTGAAAGCTCACGCAGATCTTCAGTTTGGGGAAACTTTTGCTCCGTTCTTAGTTTGATATCAGTTTGGTAAAATCATTGGAGAGAGAAAAAATGACTTTTTTCATAAAATTCAAATCTGATGCCAAATCTGATGCAACGTTAAAGATGGTCTAAGATGTGAAAAAATGAGAGATGAAAGAAAAAAATTATTGATTGATATGTAGGGTACGGTGTGAGAAAATAAGAAAGAAGATAGAAAAGTGATTGAAAGTATTTTTGAGAAAATTATAAACCATAACAAATTTTAAATTTTGAGCTCTCAAAAATTATTTAGAAAAACTAAACCAAACATAACCTGATTTTTTTTTTTAGACAATCAAATAGACCCTAAGTACCTAGCCAAGTGTGGGATCCAATTTGAATATTTTGAGCTTTACATTGAAAAATAAATAAACAGCAATACTATAAATTTAGATTTAATTATTCAAAAATGATTTACAATTATAATACTGTGATTTAAATTTGTTTTGCATATTAACTCTACACTACATAAATTTAATATTTACTATGTACTCATTTGAGAAGTTGGGTTGGGGTAGATTGGGGTTAAAATAGACTCAAAAAAATAAAATAAGTTTTTTAATCCTAAGTTAAAAAATGTCACATCCAAATCATAATCATTTCATTTTTTTCTCACAAAAATCTAAAAAAATATCACATCTAAATCATAATCATTTCATTTTTTTTTTTTTACAAAAATCTAAAAAACCAAAAAATTGATCCCAAATAAGATTTTTAACCTCAAACTAAAATATTCAAAAATTATAAATCAAAACAAATTTTAAATTTTGAGCTCTCAAAAATTAATTTGAAAAACTAAACCAAACACAATCTTGATTTTTAGTTTTAGACAGTCAAACAAACCCTAAGTACCTAGCCAAGTGGGGGATCTAATTTGAATATTTGGAGCTTTACATTGAAAAATAAATAAACAGTAATACTGTAAATTTAGATTTAATTATTCAAAAATTATTTACAATTATAATACTGTGATTTAAATTTGTTTTACACATTAACTCTATGTACTCATTTGAGAAGTTGTGTTGGGGTAAAAATAGACTCAAAAAAATAAAATAAGTTTTTTAATCCCAAGTTAAAAATTGTCACATTCAAATCATAATCATTTTATTTTTTCTTCCACAAAAATCTAATAAAACCAAAAGAGTCATCCCAAACAAGATTTTTAACTCCAAACTAAAATAGTTAAAAAGTTAAAGAATAATGTTAATTTTAAAGATTTTGGATATTTATAATTTATATAATAGATGGAGTCAGTAATAATGACATAACACTAATTGATATACTAATGTGTATACAAATTGATTCATGTAGCACCACTGAAAATTAAAAATCAACCACTATCCCAAATAAAGCTTATAGGGTAATTTAAAAAATTGGTTAAAAGCTTTTGATTTTTAAAAATTTTTTTTATGCTTTTATATGTAAAAAAATATAAAAAATAATAAGATTCAAAATAAATTAAAAATTACAAAATTAACTTTTATTAACTTTCCAAATTGCCCTTATATAACACCCACCTAAAAAATTGTGGATGAATATTTGTCTGATTTCCAAGGCTTTTCGTGATCTCTTGTGCTATTCAAAGATAACGTGTTGACGTAGGCATGTTGACTTTATGGGGAAAAGGTTAGGTGCTGTTTGATTACTCTGTTTTGGTTGGTGGGGTGGCTTTGTATTGTTTATTGTATATATATTTTAGTGTGGATTAGCTATATTTGAAGAGATTAATTAATATAAAGTGGAATGTGATATACGATTTGACTAGGATAATTGAAATCTTAACCCCATAATGCCTGATCAAAACCAAAAAAAAAAAAACAAAAAAAAAAACAAAAAAAACAAACCAATCAGTATATTTGATTTGAGTTTTTTGGATTAAGTTTTTTGAAAATTGACTTTTTTAGTTTTTGTAATTTTTTGTTTTTAGTGAATATTTTTTAAATTTTTTAGATGCATCTTACTTAGATATATCTAAAAAGTAAAAAAATTGTGAAAAAATATTTTAAAAAATTAATAAATACATAAAATACAAAAAATGTACTGAATTCTTATATATTTTTTTTTGTATTTGTGGTATTTAGTGAATTTTTAAAAGATTTTTTTTATAATTTTTTTACTTTTTAGGTGTATTTATGTTAGATGTGTCTAAAAAGTAAAAAAATTGCTTAAAATATTAAAACAATTCAGTAAAAATAAAAAAATATGAAAAATAATAGAATAAAATTTTCTGAAAAATATTTTTTAAAAAATGAAAACAAGCAAGGTGAATAATACTCTTTCTTTTTGTTTTGATTTGGTTCAATCATATTGTACAACCTGTGGAGAGTGCTCGGTTTGTTATGGGTTGATTGTTTATATCTTGAATTTATAGAAAAAATTATAAATTCCAAGATCGATGCAAGATTCATATTTTTTAAGGGCAAATGTTTATACAATTATTTTTATTTTTTATAGCAAGTGTGTGAAATATAAAACTATCAATTTCTTCAAACTCAAAATGTTAAACTTAAAATTTATAAATATAAGTTTTTAATCAATATATATAAGTGCAGAAAATATTTATGAATATAAATTTACTCTATTTAGTTTTAGAATTTTCAAAAATAATTTTTAATTTCCAATTTGTATTTTTTAATATTTTAACCAAAGTTTTTTTTTTAACCTTTTAGATTCATTTATTCTAGATACATTTAAAAAGTATAAATTTGTGAATTTTTTTAAAAAAATTTCACTAAATAAAAAAATACAAAAATTAGATTTTAAAAGTCACTTTGATTGATCTTTTAATTTGAAATAAATTAATACAAATTTGACACTTCATTCTACATAATTTTTTTTTTTCTTTTTATAATTTTGTATAAGAATTAAAGAATAACATTTTCTATGCTATAAATACGCTTTGTATTTTCAATTAGAGAGGAAGAGAAGCCAAAAAAACATAAAGTAGAACAAAAGTTAAATGACTTCTGCTAATTTCTCTCCAAAAATGGGTACCAGCTCTTTCATCAATCATTTACTATGATGAAAAAGGCTATTGAATTGGAACATATTCATAATGAAACTAGCTCTAAAGTTTGGCAACAGTTCATGTAAATGTGGTCATTCCTCAAATTCAAAAGTTGCTTCAATTATCCAAGTACACTATTATATAAGACAAGGAATATGTTGGAAATGACTTTCAAGGCCTCCAAGACATTCAGATTCTCTCTCCAAAGGATTTTAGACTTTTGTTTAAAGATAACCCCCTCACCAAGTTCTCAACCAATAAAGAAATAAAATATATATATATATATATATAAAGGAAGTAGAAAGCTTCAAAATTGGAATTGAGAATCATCCCATTGAAGGACCGCAGACTCCAAATTTTGCTCCCTCTTGAGCTTATCCTTCAAAAACCAGTCACATACTTTTCCTGCATTCAACTCCTCAATTGAACAACCTTCTTGCTCTGATATCACTCTCAATAGATTTAGCGATGATATCTGCAAATACAATTGATAAACTTAAAAATGTTGCTAGTACTATATAAACCACTAGCTTCTAATAGATATGGCTACTTGGACTGATTTGCTAGCCTTAAGGGTCTATTTAAACTCAGTTTAAACTGTAAAGAACTTTGGCCACGTTTGTTTGACCGATTAAGTTAGATGAGATTGTTAGTGAACAGATTGTTAATATGAGAATTATTAATGCGGAGATTAAATAAAAGTGTGTTTATTTTGATGATAGTGTGGGAGATGGTTAGTGATGGGATTGTTAAATTATTTTTATATAAATAAAGAAATAAATTATTTCTATATTAAAAATAACGCAAACAAATATTAAAACAAACACGTGCACTTGGTAAAAAAATAAAAAAATAATTTTTTTTATATAAAATAGATTCAATTTCCTTACTATTTTCCTAATCCTATCTAAAATTCACCAAAACTAATCCCCCTACCAAGGGAGATTAGCAAACCGCTTGTAATATGAATCGCTCATCCAAACCATCACCAAACACGCTGTGTGTGGGACCCACACCTTTGCTAGTCCAATCTGACCTCCTACACCGTGAAACAAATGTGGCCTTTGTTCCAAGCCAAACCTCTATCCACAATAGAGGAGCCAAAATTTTAGTTGAGGGAAAACTACTGATAAATTATTGGGTTAAGTCGGTGTAGAACACAAAATTTAGTTGGGTAAAAAAAATAAAAATAAAATAAAATTATCAATATTTCAAAACTATTATAATATCATACATATCACTATAAAAAATAATTTTACTATTAAATTCTATAGAACTCTCAAGTAATATAAAATTGAATAAAAAAATTGTCAGTTAAATGCATACAATAAAATAAACATTCTCTTAAATTTATTTGTGAATTAAATAAGGAGTCAATATTTATCAATATTCTTATTAATGGTGGGTTGAGTTTGTTTGAAGAAGCATAAGAAATTTTTTAAAGGGTATATAAAATTTTATAAGGAAAATATTTTCAACACCTAAGTTCAAGCTAGGTTCAAGTTATCAAAATTCAGATATAAAAAAATTTATCGTTGATTTTCCCAAATTAGTGTATTTATTGCAATTTTTGAAAATAAAAAGGAATAAAACATTTCAAAAAACTACAGACACTAAATAAAATAAGAAAATTGATTTGAATTGTTTAATAAATAATTTTTCTCATAAATTTATTTATTTATTTATAAAGTATATCAAAATGTACAAATTTATCAAACTTTAAAACTGACCAAACAAAAGAGTGTGTTAACATACTGTTAGGCGACATAGGAAGCGCTCATGAGTGTCCAACCCAGAGATTTCGACCAGACCGGCTTCTTCCAAAGTCAAGAAACTCCGCCTTTCGTTCTTCTTCTCTCCCTCACCGGTACTGCAAGCTCTCACTGCTTGCTTTGTTTGTAGAACAGCCTTGTTGCTTCTTGGTGCAAAGCTAGACTGTGTTTTTATGTGCTTTTGGGGAGCTGAATAACTGCAGAGAAATGAAGATTGGTAATTGAACTTGCAAGGTTTGAGTGCATTCATAGTTTAAAAAAAAAAGAGAAGAGTGTGTCTGTGTAGTTCAAAGTTAGAATAGATAAGTTTGTTTATCTCTTCTCTTCCAGTAGCAGCTAAGGTTTTTCTTGTATGTGGTGGAGATGGAGATAGATTTATGCATATGGACTGTATTAGAGAATTTTGGACATTTGGAACTCAAACCCAGTATTTTGTGGGCTTTACTTTATTTCTTTTTCGGCAGTTAAAGCCCATATAGATACAATATTAGAACCTAACCAGCCCATGCACTCTTGAGCCATGTCTTCCCTTCCCATCCCATCTCCAAGAACTAAACAATGGCTTTAGAAAGAAGTTGCCAATGCATCCATATGAGACTCGGTAAATTTTGAATTAAATTATAATAAAAAAGTTACTTTTGTATTTTATCTTGTATTTTTAATATTTTTTTTTTATGTACACACTTTATCAAGTTCTCTATTTTAAAACTTAATTTTATAAAATATTCATTTTTTTATTTTCTTTTCTATTTAAATACTTTTAAAAAAATTCAACGGAAATAGCAAAACAACATTGGATAGTCGACCGGGTGGTCAACCACTGAGTAAACATTGTCCAAATAGAGGAGATACTTCTTTAGAATAAATAATAAATAGTATATAACTTGTGAACAGTGCATCGCTTGATGTAACGATGTACTATAGCAATGTCAAAATTTATTTTGCTGTAATTAGCCTGATATAAGAGTATTTTTGGACCTTATTTGGCTAATATAAGAACATCTCCAATGGAGCTGCTATTCAAGCTGCCAAAGCTAAAATTTGACAGGAATGGCAAAAAGAGGTCTCTAATGACCTGCTATTTTACTTGTCAAAGATAGCAAATGCCATATCAATTCTCAAATTTGGCAAGTTAAATAGCAGCTCTCAAGCTTGCCAGATCAGTAAATATCAACAGAAATTTGGCACCAAATTTAGTTCAAAAAAACAGAATTGAAACAGTAGGGAACCCAATTTTCAAAATCAAACCCAATTTTTAGAATCAAACAAATTTTAGAATGAAATTGACAAAACCAAATTCGGTTGTTCTAAAATTTTTAATTTTTTTTAATCATTTATCACCAAATCAGTCAATCCAAATCATATGGTATGCATTCACAATAAACCAAACCAAATCAGATAATCCAGTATCACAATAAATGGTTGGATGAACAAAAATTGATGGATAAAAAAAAATTAAACCAAAAATCAAAATAAATAATTAAGAAAATTTGAAAAAAAACATACCAGATTGTGTTCTTTGAAGAACCTTCTGGAGATGCTTCAGTTCTTTGAAGATCCGGTTTGAATCCATTGCGAGATTTGAGTTTCAAAAATCACGATCACATCAGATCCACATCAACAACCAGAAAAATAATGAAAAAATTAACACGTGAAGACTGAGAGGGAGACAGATATCAAAACATATATATATATATATATATATGAGTATATATATAGAAAGAGATCGTACCAGAGACAGAGAGTAAACAAATCGGAGGTGAAGACGGAGAGGGAGACAGATCGGAGCTTCATAGGTAGAGAGAGAGAGAGAGAGAGAGAGAGAGAGAGAGAGAGAGAGAGAGAGAGAGAGAGAGAGAGAAAGAGATGTTTCGATCATGGAAGAGGAGAAGGGACTGGTTTGAGGAGAGGGAGGGAAGACAAAGAGAGGGAGATGAAAAGTGAAAACAGAGAGAGGGAGAAGACAGAGTGAGAGAGTGAGAGGGAGATAGAGTGAGAGAGTGAGAAGGAGCCAGAGTGAGAGAGTGAGAGAGGGGTTTTGATCATGGAGGAGAAGGGAGAGTGATTTGAGGAGAGGAAGGCAGAGTGAGAGGGAGATGAAGAGGAAGAGGAAGAGGAAGAGGGTGGGTCTCGGTGGATCATTCTAACACTTGACAGATCAACCATAGATGTTTATACGTGTACGGTGGATGCCTCTCAGTGTATAAAAAGAGCCGTTGTGCTCTGCTTGGTTTCTTTTTTTTTTTTTTAAAAAAAATTAATTTTTTTTTACAACAACTATCTTCAAACGACTATTTCCCCAAATGGTAATATTTTAAATTTCTATAAATTGAAACCCTCCATGTCACTTTTATTTCACATAAACATTTAGATTTAATTTTTCTTTTCTCCTCTCTTCTCTGAATTTGATTTCACAGCAAACCTCTTAAATTATTTTCTTTTTAGTTTTTTCATCCAATCACTATGGAAGGTTCATCAAAAACAAAGAGAGGAAAATCATTCACTATTGAAGTAGATATGGCAATTTGTAAATCTTGGTATCACATTTCGGAAGACCCAATTGTTGGCAATTCGCAATCGTATGCTCACTTTTGGGGGAGAATTTATGAAAATTATTGCTTACTTCAGAATGATCAGTCTAAAACACAAGTATCTATTCAATCTCGATGGGGTATAATCATGAAATGTTGTAACAAATTTTGGGGGTGTTTAGCGCAAGTCAAAAATCTTCACCCAAGTGGGATTTCTCAAGTTGATATAGTAAGTTTTTATCTTCAGTTATTATGTTTAGTTTTTTTGTCACGCCCCAAACTTACCCCTAAAAGTTCGGGCATGACCCATTCAGAAACAGACATTTAACCTGGTATATATAGCATATGGGGCCTTATCGGAAGCACAAAATATTAAAAGAATACTAAACCAAATAAACTCCATTGAGCTATTTCTAATATGCCAGGATCTCATACATTACATGCACCATAATAGGCCGATAGAGTCCAAAAATATTCCTTAGTAGTACTTATACACAAACACATATACAGACCCAGCCCTATAATCGGGCATGTATAAAACTATTAAGTTATGTACATTCAACCCTGGAAGGATAGTCAAGAAGTAAGCCAATTATCTTAATAAGCTTCACAAAATAAGTGGCCTCGTAAGTGCCTGGATACACGAGGGTTGACAAAAGAAACCGGGCGTCATGAGTTAGGATTGACCACCTGCTTGGTTGCCTACAGAAACAGACATAACAGAGAGTGAGCCGGGCTCAGTGAATAGTAATACATAAATGAAACAATGCTCAACTTGAAACATGACATATATCAATACATATGGAAGTGCAGAGGTCACATAGTTAGCCTGATTCTGTGTTCATCTTATAACGGCCTTAGGCCTAGTCTTGAACATAACAACTTGACATATCACATCTTAAATCATAATGGCTTAAAGCCCTTGAGCATGGTGGCGTAATGCCCTTGAACATGGTGGCATGATGCCCTTAAACATGGCGGCATAAAGCCCTTAAATAGAGTGGCATTATGCCCATGGATAATTTGGCATTAAGCCCTTGAATATACTTATACGAACTCAAGAGGTGTCTCACACGGATTCTAGAGGTGGCTCACGTCGTACCACTTAGTTCTGTGTAGCACTTTGTTTCATATCATAACAACTTATATCGAATGGCCGTAGGCCCAGAGTGGTATTTTATCTTTCTCATTTCTTTCTTTACATACTTGAAACATACTTGAAACATTAACATACATACTTGAAACATTAACATAGTTGCGTAAACGAAATGTTAATGAAAATCATTGGCCATATGTAAAGTAGATAATGATACTACTACTCACAGTGTTGTGATGATGTGCTTGTTCCTCCCGGAGTGTGCCTTACACACATTCAACCCTTACAATTTAGTTTCCTTTTCATATCAAATTACTTTCTGTTTCGTTTTACTTCGAAGGAATTTATACATATTAAAAGGCATCAAATACATATTCCGACAACATTAGAGGGTTCTACACGCAAAACGGAGCGATCCATGTTTTTCAACATGGGCCGCACGTGCGGCAAACTCCCCCGCACGTGCGGCAGAATGCCCCCGCACGTGCCTTTTAAGCAGAACCAAACCCAAAATTTTCAGCATTTGCCGCACGTGCGGCAGTGACTCTCGCACGTGCGGCGATTGCCCTGTTTTTGGTCCGAAAATTGCACAAAAACCCAATCTTTTGGTACATCCTCACAAGGCTCAATTTAACATTTTTAGTTGATAATACATAGTCTAAACTTCATGTTAACAAAGGCTTCAAATACATACATTAAACTAGATCAACACTAGTTCTTGAATTCTTAACCATAATCAAGTTTCCTTTTTGCATCAACATCACATATACCATTACATATATATATATATATATATAAGGTAAGTTCTTCATAATCTTTCATGAGAAAGTGAGAAATCAAAGCTAATTTCTCCACATACATACATAAGCAACTTAGTTCAAACTCATCCAATGGATAAAACATGATCCAATTACACCCCGGGTTCAATTATCATGGTTGTATCACCCTCAAATTCAAGAGAGGAATTATAAAAGATAGACACACTTATCTTGAGTTGAGATCTCCCAAAGTCTCTCTAGGTTATTCAATCTCTAGCCCTTATTGAAACTCCCTTCTCATTTCCCTCTACTCTTACTATCCTTTTCCAGGAAATATGTTGAACTAAGTCCGAAGCTTAAAGAACACATACATATTTATAAGAGCTATAAGAGCTAATAAGACAAAAGTCAATCGTTTAAACATCCGAAATTGAAATTTCCCAAAAATGCTTAATATTACCTAAAAATTATGCTGATCACATATATAAAATCAATTTCAGATAATTAAGCCCATAAGGCCTCCAATTTCGATTCAAACCTTCTAATGTAACAGATACTTTTCTTGTTGAACAGATAGACATCCTTACTCATATGGTTCACTTACTTAATTTAAGCATTCAAATCACAAAATAGGATCCGAAAATACAACAAAGAACATGTACGAGGGTCGGGTTATTACATTTTTTATTCTGGTATCGTATAAAAATTAAGTAATTAAATAATTTTTCAATTTTTTTTAAACAGATGCTTCAAGCAAAACTGTTATACCATCAAGATGGAAACAAAAATTTTGTTTTTGAACATTGTTGGCCAATCTTGCAAGATAATATCAATTGGCAAGATGTAGCTCCTACAAATATGGTAAAGTCAATGATGCATACAACGTTTACCCCTAATTCAACCCCCGATTCCCTTATGGATAACTGCATTTCTCTTGAAGACGACAATAGTCCAAGTGTTAGTAACAATTCAACTGTTGG